CCCCAACATTCTGTGATTCTGTGATATGGCTCCTATTAAACTGGTCCACTCACAAGGACTCATCTTGTGCAGCGTCATGCATGTCCTACAGACCAGACTGGTCTGCCCAGAACAGTCCGTATCACCCAAGACCCACTCACTGCCTATTGCTTTCCCATGAGGCTGCCAGATGTGGTCAGCGAGGGAGCAGTGGCCTCCCAGCTCCTGCTTGCTTTTCCCTGACATCCTTCCTATAAGCCTCTGCCTTCCTCAGGAGGCTTCACAAGCTGGTGCTGGCAGAAGGAATGGACAGAAGTGTCGTGGCAGCCTGAAGTCCCCTTCTTTTCCCTGCACTGTCTCCAAGGAGTTGCAGTTCCAAAGCACTGACCACAAGCCATGAACAGATCTCAGAGCACCAAGCCATTCCTCAGTTTGAGAGCTGTGTGGTGGGACAGGACAGAGGTGATCATCTGCTCCTCAAGCTTCTGTAAGGAACCAGACCCTCAGCAACTCCTTGTCCCCCACACAGTGGTTTTCTAGAACCCAGGACAATGCTCTGCTGAGTTGGCAGCGACATCCTCTTGACTTTGCAGAAGCCCCTTTCTCACCAAATGCTTTCAGCTCTACCAAGACAGTGGCCTCTGCAGTTTTTTCTCGATGCCCAGTGCAGATGTGCGCCCACTGCTTTGGACCAACAGGTCTTTGCCAGGCACTGCTGTCATGCCAACCTGCTCCACCAACTCTTTTTGATCTGTGTGAGATGCTGCAAATTGGTCCCCTGTAAAGATCTAGCTGACTTCCAACTGATTTTTTTTTAATCCTTTGCTCTTTTTGTTCCCTTTTCCCAAATCAGTGGATGTGAAAGTCTCAACGGGGCACAGACTTGATACACGTCCAACTTGGCCTAAGGAGTCTCAGTTCTTGGTGTAACACTGTTATAAGCTAGGTAGTCTAGCACTTAAAAAATAATGGAATAGAAACTCTTATTTTTTTCTCCTAAAAGGAGCTAGGACATCTTTCTCATTTCAACTTTGAGAACTGCAGCAAGTTCTGAGAGTTTATAAAACTGCTGCTGGGTCCAGTTATCATAGAATCATAGAATGGTTTAGGTGGGAAGGGACCTTAAAGCTCATCCAGTTCCAACCCCCCTGCCATCAGCAGGGACACCTTCCACTAGACCAGGTTGCTCAAAGCCTCATCCAACCTGGCCGAGAACACTTCCAGGGAGGAGCAGCCACAGCTTCTTTGGCCAGCCGGGGACACTGTCTCACCACCCTCACAGTGAAGAATTTCTTCCTAATATCTAATCTAAACCTCCCCTCTTTCAGCTTAAAGCCATTTCCCCTTGTTCTGTCATTTACTGCCCTTATGAAAAGTTAATCCCAGATGAAGATGTGCTGCTTGTAGAGATGGAGGAGACAAAGGTCCTTCAGCTTGGAAAAGAGATGGTGGTGGAAGTGTGACACAGGTCTGTGAAATCACAGCCTGGCATTGGGAAGGGAAGGTGAATAGGAACCTAGAACTTGCTGTTTCTTGTTTACAAGAACAAAATGACACTCAGTGAAATGACTCAACACTAAATTTTACACAAAAGGAAGGAGTTTTCCATACATCAACCACTACACTCACTGCTGTGGACACCCAAAGTCTAAATAAGTCTGGAAAAGAAAGAGAGGAATTAATGGAGGATGGGTTCCTTGGTAGATCTCTAATGTGCATCTAGCAACAATGCCTGGCTTGGGAAGTTCTGAAACCACCAGACCCAAGAAGCTGAGTAAAGATACCAGGAAAGGGTTCTATAAAACCAACTGCCAAACTTTTTTTAGAAAAACAGTTTTACAGATACATGTACTGTACATTTACAGACATCCATGGAGCCTACCTTCCCACAGTGAGCTACACGTCCTCCTGGCTTTAGTAACCACCCTTGCACTCAGTGATATTTTTATTAAACATCAAGAAGTTAGCACAAGAAGAATGGGTTCTTCAGACACGTGAACAATAAGCAGAAGCTCAGGGAAGGCACAAGCCCATCGCTAACAAGGGCAGGGAAATCAATTACTAATAATGCTGACAAGACAGAAGTTCTCAATACCTTCTCTACCTTTGTCTCTACCAGCACTGCTGGACCCCAGATCACAGGAACATGTACCTATGACAACGCACGTGTCCACCCACCAGCAGGGATGGGTGGTCTGTGACTTCTTGCTAAGGTTCAACCATGTTAAGAGAAGTGGCTGATGTTGTTGCAAGGCTACTGCCTATGATATCTGAAAAGTCATGGAGATCAGGAGATATCCTTGATTACTGTAAGAGGGCAACTGTCACACTCACCTACAAGGACAGCCGAAAAGAGGACTCAGAAAACTACAGGCACATTAGTCTCTTACTTCAATCCCTGGGGAAAGTCATGGAACAAGTCCTCCTAGAAACTATTACAAACCAATGAAGCAGGTGAGTGGGAAAAGTCAGCGTGGATTTACCGAGGGCAAATCACACCAGGCTGATCTGGTCATCTTCAAAGACAAAATGGTATCTTCTATCCACGCGGGGAGAGCAGGGGATGTTGTTTACCTGGATTTCAGCAAAGTGTTCCACACTGTTTCCCACAGCCTCCTCCTGGACAAACTGGTAAGATACAGGTTAGATGTATCTACCACCCTCTTTGGGTAGCCTAGTTGGCTCACAGGCAGCACACAGAGGGTGGTGATCCATGGTTTTCACCCAGGCTGCCTGTCACAAGTAAGGTCCCCCAGGGATCAATACTGGGCTCCACACTGTTCAGCATTTTCATAAATGATCTAGATGATAGGATTGAAAGCAACCTCACCAAGTTAGCTGAGGACACCAAACTAGATGCTGAGGTGGACACACCAGGAGGGAGAGGCATCTTACAGAGACCTGGACAAGTTGGAAGAGTGGGCTAACAAGAACAGTATGAAGTTTAAAAGAGACAAAGGCAAGGTCCTGCACCTGGGACAGTTCAGGCTAGGAAATGTGTGGCTGCTCCCCAGGGAGCAGCTCCCCAGTTCAGGCTAGGACCTGGGAGTCCTGGTGGACAGCAAGCTGAGCATGATCCAGCAACAACAAAGGCAAATTGGATCCTGGGTAGCATCTGCAGGGGCATCACTAGCAGAGATGGAGACAGGATCATCCCACTCTACTCAGCACTTGTCAGTAGCTTCTGGAATATTGTGCCCAGTTCTGGGCCCTACAAATTAAAAAAGACATGGACAGACTGGAGAGGGTCCAAAGGAAGGCCATGAAGATGACCAAAGGGCTGGAAAACCTGCCCTATGAGGAAAGGCTGATGGAGTTGGGTCTATTCTCCTTGGAGAATGGAAGGCTCGGTGGGACCTCATCACAGTATTCCAGTACTTGAAGGGCAGCTACAGAGAGGACAGAGGCTCTCTCTTCACAAGGAGCCCCATGGAGAGGATAAGGAGCAAGAGGTACGAGTTGCACCAGGAGAGGTTTCACCTCGTTCTAAGAAAGAAAATTGTACAGTGAGAACAATCAATCACTGGAACAACCTCCCCAGGCATTGAGAGCAGAGTCCCCATTGCTAGATGTTTTCAATATGTGTCTGGACGGGGTGCTAGATAATCTCATCCAGGCTCTCTTTCTCATTTGACCAGGTGATCTTTGAAGTCCCTTACAACCTGGGCAGTTCTAGGATTCTAATAAAGACAAGGGGCTGTGCTCCTCTGCCCAGTCAGAGCAAAGGCAACAGCAGCTTTTGCTAACAGGGACCCACAGCTCTGAGCAGGAGACAGATGACGCTGTACAATGGTGGTGTTGGGTTGATGGTTGGACTTGATGATCTTAGAGGTCATTTTCAACCTTAATGATTTTATAACAATGAGCAGTCAAGTGAATGTGGTTCATCTTTCTAGTCAGCGAGGAAGACTCCCAATGACCTTTCCTGAAGTGCTCTCTAAAAAGACCTGCAAGCTTGAAGCAGGACTGTTGGCTTGAACAACTCACCTTTGATAGAGTTAAGAATTTCTTGAATTCTCTGTGGCTCGTTGCGGTCTGGTCTGCAGCTCGGTGTGATCTCCAGCACGTAGTCAGGACCGTACTCTGTGAAGAACTGCAAGGAAGAGGAGAGGAGAGGAGAGTCAGCAGGGAGGTCTCTGGCTGGCTGAGGATGGCTCTCCATGGGTACCTGTTTGTAAAGAGGCAAAAACATTTTCTCTGAGGGGCACATGTAGGTTAACCACATCAAAGAGGTGCTTCTGCGGTGTCTGTGCCCACCTGGACACTGCTACTAATTCAAGGGCTTGGGAAGCAGAGCTCAGTTGTGCAGCCAAAAGCAGTCTCGTGTCTATCCCAGTGCTTTATTTGGAAAAGCTGTTGACACTCATTTTACACACAGTTACCTGGAAACTTGATTTTTTTAATGAAAAAATTTCAAGTGCTGCCTATCAGATATCCTTCCTTTCGGCTCCCCACCCCACCTTGCACTTTGAAACACCTAGAAAGAGAAAAAATCAGTATGCTTCAAGGTTAATTATGTGTCTTTCCTGGCTGAGTGCTCCAACATGGTACAGCTGAGCCTCAGTGAGGAAAATCTGCAGCTCCTGGGCTCTACACAATAACTCAGAATCACAAATTACTGCCAGCAGTTTCATTTCACGAGCGCACAGCACTGAGCAAAGAAGCAGACACACCAGGGTTAAAAATTCAGCGGTGAAGTTGCAATTGGTCCTGTTGCTACCCCTGGAGTGCTTCACCCCATGGAGAGATAGTCCAGACTTAAAGCTCTTGTACCAAATATAGAGAAATTCACAGCTTTAAAGTCTCTCAAATGATTGATGATGCACAGGGCTGAGGTTTTCTTTAAGCATGAGATTGGAGGTGGCAGATCTGGCAACCCAAGACCGACGTCTCTGCACTAGCAGGGGCAACAAGGGCTCCTCCAAGCAGACCACAACGTGTCAGTACTGATGAGGAAAATGAAGTGGCTGCTGAATGCTACAGGTTCCAGCAAACACACTGGATTTGAAAGCAAAGCTGAAATCAGGCTGGGTTTCCCAGCCTGTGAATCGCAGTGTTAAGGAGCTGCCCACTCTGTAAGAACATCAGCTACTCACACAGAATGGGCAAGGCAGTTGGGTCAGGGATTTTTCAAGCAGACTATCTTCACAGTTTTCTCAAGTAATCTCTTTTATAGCTAAGTATTTCCCTTTCTTCACCTTTGCCCTGCTGGAATACTGACATGAGAGGAGAACACTGATATTTTTCCTGTTTAGAAAGACAGAAAATGGATAGAGCAGAAGAAGCCAACATGTTTTGGGAAATCCTCACTGAGAGCTGGTGCCTCTAGTCCGGCTTGAGTTCATTCTTGTAGTGTGAACAGGAGACAGCTACTCCCAGAGCATACAGGCTCCACTGGCAAAGCCCACTGACTGCACAAACCAAGCAAGTTGGCTTATTTGCAGGGAAAAAAAAGGAAATACACATAAAATCTTGACTGCAGCATCTGTGAAAGAGCACATGGAAAACGCAGACCTCAGTTAACTGGTCTCAGCTGCACAACCTGCTGGTTACACAGGCAGTGGCACAGTGGACTTTGTACCGTGGGTCTAGAGCATCCAACCTGGGAACCAACGAGGCACAGTTAATCCTGATAAAAAACATCATTTTGCACTTCATCCTCTGATTTCTGTGGCACCAAGTGAAACAGAACACAAATAAATACAGTTTCAATGTCACTGGTTTTCAAAGTCTATGTTAAAAGATTTTTTTGCACTGATGTGGTTTGTGGTAGTGAAGAAGCTTTTGGTATTAGGGGACCTTTAAAGGTCCCTTCCAACCCAAACCATTCTATGATTCAGTAACTAAGATCTTGTAGAGCAGCTCTGTGTGCTGAGCCACCCAGTGTGGGTTGCAGAGCACAGTCAGACAGAAGAGCTCGGGCTGGCTGGGTTTTACAGCATCCACCAGAAAGCAGGGCAGCAGGGCAAGCCTGGTGACTCTTGAACTGGCTTATCCAAGAGCTCTGATACAGATGCTCTGAGGCAAACAGCCCCAGCTGTTCAACACGTCTCTACCCTTCTATTGCAGGTTCCTGTGCATGTGACAGGAGAAAATACATGTCCAGTCATCCCAGGTCACAGCCTGAGACACAAACAGGCAGGGCAGCCAGGTAAGGAGGGGACCACCTATCATTGCCACAGCTAGAGGTGCTTCTTGGCTCTGAGGGAGCACTGACAGAAGAAATTCTTTCAACCACTCAACTGATGAAATCAACAAGCAGCACCTGGGAATGAATCAGTTGAGTTTTTAACCCATCACAGGGACTCAGAGAGGCAAATCCACCAAAGCAAACCAAGAATATGGATTTTCTTTTTGAGGTGGGTTGCTTAAGCCTTAATATTTCCCAAGACAGTACAAAAGAGCCATTTGCCCAAGCACCTTGTATTCACTCTCTTGCAGCCTGGAGGAGATTCAAGAGGTGGTTTTCAGTGCTTCAGAAAAGACTCACTCTGCTTCTTCATCTCTCAGAACAAGGAGGATGCTACAAGCAAAAATGCGCTTCAGCAACAACAAAACGCCTGCACTAGCCACTCATCCATTTATTTGTAGCAGGGGAAAAAAAAATAAATCTCTTTTTCATCCCTGAAAAATCCCTGTCATTTTCAGGGATGAAAAAAAAACAGTGTTGAGAATCCAAACTCACAAGGAAAACTAAAAATCCTCTTCTTAATCAGCAGCTCACCTGGAACCTCATCATAGCTCCCTTTTAAAGCTCAGGCATGCCAAAACAGAGAGAACCACACGTGTCTGATGTGCAATCCTAAAGCCCTGAGCAGGCCAAGAGGAGACAAAGTTGACACCAGAGAGAGGTGTACCTGGGACTGCAAACATCTTCCCTCCCATCGGTGGGGAGTCCCAGAGAAAGGTGCCCAGTGTAGTAGCACCATCAGGAGATGGGAATGTGCAAGGACTGCAGGGAAATAAATGTTGGAGGAAGAAAACAGTAGGTAGAGAGGCCAGGAAAAAGGGTGAGAAATAAAGAAAGGAAAAGGCAAAGAGATTAAAAAAACAAAAAACAAAAAAGGGGAAGGCTAAAACAATAATGTCATTAAAAGGGAAGGATATTTGCTACTGAATAATGCCAGATTTGATAGCAAGTACTATGCCAATAGGAAAAAGTAGGCATCTCTAAATTCTTTCCCTGATTTTAGTACAAACAGTTCATTGGTGGACACTGCTGCAGGAGGACCATGACCAGTGGTTCATGCACCATCAGCACAGGATGTTCCAAGAAATTCTGTGTTGGTCACTCGAGGTGCAGCCTCACCAGTGCCCAGTCCAGGGGGAAGAGAACTTCCCTGGTCCTACTGGCCACACTGGTGCTGATCCAGGCCAGGGATGCCCTTGGCCTTCTTGGCCACCTGGGCCACTCTGCTGACTCATGTCCAGCCAACTGTCCACCAACCCCCCAAGGTCCCCTCTATGCCCAGCAGCTCTCCAGCCCACTCCTCCCCAAGCCTATCGTGCTGCCAGGGGTTGTTGAGGCCAAACTGCAGAACCTGGCACTTCCTGTAAGTGCAGCCAGAAGACACCACCACACAGAGCCAAAATCTCCCCAGGTGGATCAATAATCTTCAGGAGGGCAGCAGGCAGCACCCAGAAGGCCGGGGCTGAGAGCAAACCACTCTGCCTGATGAGCTGGGGTCCATGAGGCCACCTCACTCCCACCACACAGGAGGAAGCTCTGCTCCCTTGGCCTTCCTCATTTTGTAAATCACACCTTAGAAAGAGATCTCAGCAATGTTTCTGGAAGTGTTTCACACTAGTTTCACAGCTCCCAGGCTTGGGGCAAGCTGCTAACTTAACCCTTCAGTGGGCAAAGTTTGGACATCTCTGTTTCAATGCAAATGGCCTGGCTACATCCAATACGAAAACACGAGAGGGACACTTCCTCCTGGGCAAGTAAATACTACGCTCAGCATCATGAAATAATGCAGCTCAGGAGGAGGGACAGGGCAGGTAACTGCATCAATATCAAAGAAAACAAAGATGATCCTTCAATGTTCTTGTCCAGACAGCTGGTTTCAGAAATTACTGATCTTGGTTGTGGTTCAAGAGCTAAAAACACAGACCGACGCCGGTGGGAAGAAGCAAGAAAACATTTAAAACTGATAAAGGACATACTTTGAAAAACTGTAAACATCAGCTGTGGCTCTGGTTTTCAGGGGGCTTGTTGGTACAAACTGTTTAATGCATTTCAGAACAGGATTATAAATGTAAAACAGCATCTGGTGCCATCAGTGAGGCAAGAAATTAAGCTCTCTATCTCCTGCCAGAGGATGTGGGCTAGCACCCCTCTAGGAAAGGCAAAAACTTCACACTTGACGGGGGACAGGCTGCTGAGAGAGACTGTGGAGTCTCCAGAGTCTCTGGAGATGTTCCAAACCCACCTAGATCCAACTTGCTCTAGGGGCAAGGAGGGTTGGACTGGATGATCTTCTGAGGTCCCTTCCAACTCCATCTTTCTGTGATTCTGTGACACAGTATCTTCCTGGCTGTGAAGAAGCGTGCAGTGGCTACTTGCAAGCAAAAACACAAGCGTGGCAGCCAGCTGCAGGGCATTGTGTGCACATGGGTAAGACACCACAGCCCAAAATCTCACCTTCAGCTGCAAGGTATCCCCAGCCACCAGCAGGCTCTGTAGCAGATAATGATGGGTTAAACCTGTTGACACAGAGGGAACACTCCTCCCAATGCCTTTTAATTAGGAGTTCATCAATGCCTCAAAGCCAGGGAGTATTCATCCATCTGTTCTACTAAGGAGCAGAGCTGTAAGGAGAGGCTGAGAGGTTCCCAAGGGCTGTGCCTCGGAGTACTTGACCTCGTGCTGTTCAAACACCTCACCACTTCCACCTGGTAACCCATGGGCCTTGTCCCTGGGGATTTGAACCCCACTGCAGTTTGCTTACCCACTTCTTCCAGGTCCCAAAAAAGAGATGCAGATTCCCTGAAGGAAGGGTGCTGCTCCCTGCTGACTGACACCAATATCACAATCTTTTAGCTGGTATCTGATCCAGAACTGTTCAATTCAACTCATGTACCAAGGCTATTTCTTATCACCAAGGTCACTTTATCACCCAAGCTACTTTTTTACCTTTGATGAAGCACATGGGCACAAGCTTTAAAATAATCAGACAACCAGTGTCTCCATGTACTCTTGGTGGACCTGATGGATGTTCTAGCAGAGCACTGTATTTCTGACTCATTCCCAATTTCTGCTCCAGCAAACTCCATTCACCCAAAAGCTCTCTGGCTGTGAGGACCCACCGCTCCAGCCACTTCACCTGGCAATCAATAAGCACTGCAGCTATGCTCCTGATCCTCATCAGCTGCTTTGCTGGTTAACATCACTGCCCCAGAGATGATTTTTACTAAACCCTCTCCATGGTTCAGAAGTCAGGATGTGCTTGGTCATGGCAGGCACTTGGTTTTACAAGCCTGCTATAAAAATTCTTCTGTAGGTGCCCAAGCAGGAATATCAGCACTTTGTGATTGCTTCATCCAAGGCAGCCCACGCACAGCAGCTCCAAGAGACAGGCTGGGCTGATCTCTGGCAACTTGTTCCTTCACAATGAACCCTGAGCAGCTCATCCCATCTCTGCTAACAAAATCACAAGCACCATTTCACTGCAAGGGGAAACCAAAGAAGACAGCCACATCTTCCTGCCATTTCCTCTGCTCCTGGCATTCGTTGGTGGCCAGAGAGAAGAGATCAGCACCTGCCCCTCCTCTTCCCCTTGGGAGGAAGTTCTAGACCCCCAGGAGATCTCCTCTCAGTCTCCTCTTCTCCAGGCTGAACAAACCAAGTGACTTCAGCTTCTCCTCACACCCTTCCCCTCTGAACCCTTCCCCAGTGTTGGGGGAGTGTTCAGTGTCCCTCCTCTGGACACTCTCCAGCAGCTTTAGATCCTTTTTCTCCTGTGGTGCCCAAACTGCCCCCAGTGCTGGAGGTGAGGCCGCCCCAGTGCAGAGCAGAGTGGGACCACCCCCTCCCTGGCCCGGCTCACAGTGCAGTGCTGGATGCCACCAGGACACAGGTGTCCCTCTTGGCTGCCAGGACACACTGGTGGCTCATGTTCAAAAGCTCAATCCTCTTCTATAGTCACTGTAGGCTGGAACTGCTCTGCACGTGCAGGTTTATTTCCGCAGGGTCAATAACATTGATCTGCTGTTTGAGATCTATTACGGACCTATACTTATTTCTACCCAAATACAGTCTGGACTGTGTCCAGCTTGGCTCAAGATTTTAAAAGCACCAGCACTGGAACTGAGACAGCTCATATGTGATCACGAACAGCAGCTGCCCCATGACCCACTGCTCAGAAAAGCCTCAAAGTTGCACCTGGGACTTTCTAAATCGATAAAAGCAGGGCTAAAATTTAAAGTCTCTTGATTCTAGCAAAAGTATGTGCACATCCTAAAGAGTTCTTTGAGCAAAGAGGTGACTTCCCCTCCCCATCCTCTCTGTAATTATCTGAAACTGGATTTATTTGTCCTGAGATCCCTTGCAAAAAGATGCAGCCAGCCTCAGGTTTTGGGAACAAGCCCCCACTATGCTGCTGAGACAGCATGTTATTGTTACAGGAGTGTCTACACAAAGCAGCACTGAGCAGCAAGGATGCTGTTGGGATTAGGCAGAACAACTCAGCTCTCGTGCAAGGAGAAGAGAGGTTTGTCAAAGCTTTACCTCGTGATCAGGGATCTCAGAGGACAGCGTTCTCCCAAGGATGACCCCAGTCAAGTATGTCCAGCAGCGAGCTGTGTTGGCAAGGTTGTATCCTCCTGTCTCCAGCAAGATTTGGGGTTTTTGAAGAGGGAAAAGTGGGGAAAAGGAAGAGAGAAGGACGAATTTTAGTGGAATGAACAAATCACAGAGGCAACATGTGTAGTTTACATGAATTCAGCTTATTTCATCCACTCAAGCTGAGCACAAAAACTACATTTTGCAGCTGCTGGTGACACGAGGCCAGGTTTGAATGACACTGGATGCAAGGGCAGACCTCCCAAACTGAAACCCAGTTACACCCAGTGGGGCACAGCCCAGGCTTCTCCAGCCACAGGGAGAGAACTATAAATGCAGCACTGGAGACAGGGGATTCCTGCTTTTTAATGCCAACCTTCAACCTATAAAGCATAATACATGTCCCCAGCCACGTGCTGGTGAGCTCTTAATGTTTGAGAAGACAAATATGAAGCTCATTAGTACAACTTGCAACTGCTCTATGAGTAAATGAGGTTTCACAGTCAGTGTGGTAATGGTCACCTCTGTGGTATATGAGCCTGCAAGGAAAAACCTTTGCTGAAAGAAATCCTGCAAGAGACTCAGAAGCAGTTGTTTTTTTTTTTCAGCAAAGACAACTAAAATAAAGAGAGAAAAAACACTTTGAAAAGAGAGGGAGACCACATTTTCCAACATTCCCTTTTCTTTGGGTCTTGCAGTGTTTTTTGGGATTTTTTGGGGGGTTTTGTTTTTGGTAAGTATTGGCTCCTCCCCCGATTTCCACTTCAAATGCTTCCACAAGTGGTGGGACACTCCTTTGGTATTTTCATGAGTGACAAACAGCTGTGCCTTATTTTTTGACAAAAGTTTTGGGGTTTCTTTTTGCCTGAAAGGTGCCAACCCTGCATGCCACAGACGTGCCACAGCAGGACTGAACACTCATCATCTTTCCAAAACAAAGAGCATTGGGCACATCAAATTTTAGGCTTAACATACCTCATCTCTCTCATCTAAAAAAGGACAACAGCTAGAGCTGATACGGCTCCAGGCAAAGGGTGAGGGGTTCTCCCCAGCACACAGTGGCTTTTGTTGTTCAAAAATCTCTGTTGCATAAAGCCTGTCTTGCTCCCTCCCCACTGGCCAAGCAGCTGGTTATGCAGCATGGCAGATCTACATCAACCTTAGCTTTTTCTGGATGTCAGAGCCTTGCTGTACCGTGCAGGCAGCCAGTCCTTTTCCCAAGCCTCTGCCTGAATCCAAACAAAATCACTGTCAGATGCCCAAAGTAGGTTTGGGAACACGATGTTCACTTTTAAAGAGAAGCACTGAAGGGCTTATAAGCAGACATGTGAAGCCATCGAGAAGCCATGGTCAGTTCATCAGGGTTAACAGCTTGTGCTCTTCTCTGGAGGAGCCAAGCAGCCTTTAACTCAAGATCTTAGGGTCAGGGTAGAGACTTGTACCTGTCAGTATCGAGGATTTCTGGTCTGTATGAAAACAGTACTGCACCACAGAGCACTCTCCTGATGCTACCCTGCTCAACTCCAGTCCATGCCGAGCCCAAGGGCACACACTCGAGGAAGGGACGCAGGAGGACAAACTCGTTTCCTTGTCCACAGCAGGATGTGTTTTGCACTCACCTCCTCCCAGGATGAGAGTTGCCAGCTGCCACTGCAGGATGTACTTCAGGCACTTGCCCACTCCCTCAGGTGTCATGTTGAAAGAGCACATGGGATCTCCAGCAATGGTGTCTGCACCCAGCTGTAGCACCACCGCGTCTGGGTTGAAGGCAGCGTACACCTCCTTCAGCACGCTGTGGAGAGGAAAAGAGGTGGTGGTTACAGCAAACACAGCTCAGAGGGACACTGATGGCACAGCCCAGGTGCCTGAGATCCACCAATGATTCTCAAAGCATTCTCTGCTCCCACCCTCCTCATACCATTTATGCTCCCACTGCTCCCAGTCAGCCTCCTGCCTCCACTCCTGTCCTGCACAGTAAAGCGCTCGTCATAAGGCTGATGAAGGCAAAAGCATCACTGAGAACACGGGGGAGGAGGATCCAGTCCTGATCAGTTTAGTGGTGGCATCAAACCACACATTTAAGTTGGCCACCTTGAACCAGCCAAACCCAGGGGCTCTTTTCTCCTCCATCAAAGAGCAGAGTCTGGCGAAACAACAATCCTAAACTCTCAGACATCTTTCACCAGGAGAGGATGAACCGAGGAAGGCTCTGTCTAGGTTCTCACTTTCCTCTCTCCCATATGGCTCTTGAGGCAGAAATACATTTCAGTCCAAAATATCAGGCAAATACTGGAGAAAAACACGTTCCTTTCACAACACAGTGTTTTTATTTTGCTAAACTAGAAACAGATGTGAGCCCTGGAATAAATAATTTTGCCTTTGTTAAAAGAATCTAAGCATCGCCAGTTCTTATTTGATATATAATTAGAAACCACTGAGGTGCCAAACAAGAAAGCTGCTTCCCCATGGCAAAGAGCTTGTACTCACCCCAGGAAACTCAGCCAGTCACTGCATCCAGCCCAGGAACCCCACTGAGCTCAGCGGGGTCTGCCAAGGCAGAGGCACCACAAATCCACCACTGAAATGCAGGCACTGCTGCAAAAAAACTGGAGCGGTGATGAGAAAACCTCTGGGAAAAAAACTCAACCCCCCCCATTCTGGTTTCGCTAGGAGAGAGTTGATTTTATTCAAAGTAGCTAGAAAGTGCTGGATTTTCATAGAATCAGAGTGGTCGGAAAAGACCTTTAAGATCAAGTCCAACCATAAACCAAACACCACCAATTCCACCTCTAAACCCTGAGCTCCTCGTCTGCCCTTCTGTTAGATCCCACCAGGGAAGGTGACTCCACCACCTCCCTGGGCAACCCCTTCCAATGCTTGACTGCCCTTTGGGTGAAGAAGTTTTTCCTCAGATCCAACCTAAACCTCCCCTGACTTCAGTATGGGATTTTCTTCTCAGTTATAAGACAAAAGCTGATAACATTCTAATGTTTTTTGTTATTGCTAGAAGTCCAAGGACTTGTTGTTTTGCCAGTCCACAAGTGCAAAACACCTGGGGTAGGAGGGGGAAAATGGAGTAATTAGCAAAACCCCAAATTGGCATTTGGCTCTGTCAATTAGATATTCCATCTCCTATCACGTCATGGTCAATATATGAATGAGGGTTGACCAGAAAACTTGGGATATTGTCAGCAATCTCTCGGGCTCACTCTACTGGGATTGTGGTTTTGGGACTATCTTTGCTCTGTGAGCTGGGGATGGGCTGGGCACTGGTCGGCAGGTGGTGAGCAACTGCATTGTGCATCACTCAGTTGAATATTTCACTACTACTGTTATTATTACTATTAAGTTTTATTTTATTTCAATTATTAACTTGTTCTTATGTCAACCTACGAGTCTCCTTACCCTTCCAATTCTCTCCCCTATTCCTTGGGTGGGGGGAGAATGAGTGAGTGGCTGCATTTGCCTGCCAGTCAAGTGAAACCATCACATGCCCCAAGAACAAAAGTGTGAGCCTGGGGGAAAACAGGATTTCCATTCAGTGTGGGTAGCCAGGTTTGGCAGCACAGCCTGGACGTGCTGAGAGCACCCAGCAGGGCCAGGCAGCCAACACCACTTATGTTTTGACAGCTGTGTTGTCCCCACAGTCCCACCAAGCAAAGCAAACTGAGGTAGATGGTGAAAAATCACAGTGTCGAGAAAAGAGGGGTCAAATCAGCATAAGCTTCCTTCTTCCTTCTGTAAGTGGACCCAAAATCAGCCTCTCTTCTACAGATGTCAAGGATGGGATGGATGAGTGGGGCTTCCACCTCTGCTCAAGGCCCACATTGTACAACCCTTCTCTGGAGTAGGGAGGACTGAACTGGCTTTCTTCAAACACTGTAGGGCTTCTTGACATTGTCTGCTGCTGGTGAGGGCTCTTGCTGCCTGCACTCACACCTCCACAAGCACATCCAGCTCCCGTGAGATGTCTCTGGGTCCTTCTTCCCCCATCTCCCTCAGACACGCTTCTCCACTTTGGCTAGACAGGCAGGTTGATGCTGGCCAGTGCCAACAGCTCACTTTTCCCCTAGGAAGCTTTACATCCCTCATGGATCCACAAGAAATGGGCAGATGCATGTGGAATAACACAGACATAGGAAAGTTTACCCTTCATTAGCAAAGATTGGGGGTCCCCTGCCCCCTCACCAATCTCACTGGTGCAAGGACAGCCACTTCCACCAAAATGCAATCCTTCTCTTATTTTCCCATGGAAACTCACTTCAGGCCAAGGCTTCCTACTATTTCTCAGCAAGGTCTCCCAGCGAGGATGGAGAAGAGTCTTTTTATAGGCCCATCCCTGCAGGTTTTTTGCTGGCTGCACGAGGAGTTTCAAAGTTCACCCTTTCCCAGAGCTTTTCATTATCAAAGCACATTGTGGACACTACCTAAATGATAAACATCTGGACACAAGAGCATTTGTCTGCTGCTGGGATGTCTCTTAACACATAAAGGTACCTTAACCCTCTTCATTCTCCCATGCTGTGCTCAGGAACAGAGTAATTCTTTCTGGTGTTGTAGAAGATCAGCAGAAGGACTGCTCTGCAGCCTCAGCCCCATCCATGGACCCTCACAGTGTGATGATGTGCTCCCTCTGTGTCCCCCACCCGATCTTTATTTCCCCGTAACCCAGTTCAAGTGATCACCACCAGTGGTGACCATCATGGTGCAAGTATCACTAGAGGTCAATCATCTCACTCCATCAATAGCAGCCAGCCCAGGGCTGTGGAGCTCTCCTGAAACAACAGTGGGATGCACGTCAGGATCTCCCCTGGAGCAGGGACACCTCTCAAGGTTACTCCTCGAGGCTGAGAGATTTCTTGGCATGACAGATCCTCAGTAAGTGACCAACAGCTGATAAATTGCAAAATCTGAGCTGAGTGATAGAAAGGACTGATTGTATAAATACACAACCCTTTAGACTTAAATCATTGACCAAGTCTGGGACCTGGTGGACCTGCACCCAGACTCCTCTCTGAGAAGGAGTTCAGAAAGCAAAGGGGTCCTTTCTGAACCTCGTGACTCAACGGGAGGGTCTCCCCAACAGTTTTGTCTGACCCTGTCCCCTATGCAGGAAATAATCAAGTGAACCTCACCATCGAATCCTCTTAAATGAATGTCACATTAACCTTTAAACTTTGTTAATTCACTATTTTATATCAATAAGTATCTTGTTACATCTCTCTTACGAGTGAAGTGCATCACTCACTGACTCTGCCTGCAACACACACACAAGTGCAGACTGATGATAAAGCAAAACTGCCTGTACAACAGCGGGTTTGTCCCTTCCACCCAGCCTTCCCAGTCTCTTCCTTTTGCTTATGATGGAGCTGCTCTCAGCCCACAGTGTGCAGTTTCAAGGAGCTGAACTAGTAGAAAGTTGCTGAGCAGGGTTACCATTCTGCCAGGTTAACTCCCTGAACCAAGCCACCGAGTGCCACCAAGTGAGACAGAGGATCTAGAAAGGAAGTGTAATAGTGGCAGAGAAGAGAGTTTGCTGACGTGACTTTTTAACAGCCTGTTTCAGATCTACTTGTGATTTTAGCAGCTAGTTCTGCTGAATTGGATGCCAAGAAATGGCATCTCTTGGATCTCTGGATTTACTCACAGCAAGGAAAAGAGGAGAAAGGAGCAGGCAGCCAAGGATAAGGCAGTGGGAACAAGAATCTTCTCCTCTTCTGGCAGCATCCCTCAGGGAGACCAGCTCAGTCACACCATCAGAGTTTCAAGCCTGTCTGAGAACTCCTGATCCACCTCCCTGCAAGAGCAGGCTAATCCCAGCTAGAAAACTGATTTTGCATCGAGATGCATCACGAGTGCAGCAAAAATCTCTCAGCACCTCAAAGCTGTGGATGCAGGAACCTCTGACCTGTGACAGCTGGCTCCAGTGGGATGGTACCTCCAACCTCTGCGGTCAGGGCATGGTGTGGCCAGGAAGGACCACGCAGTCTGGGCTGTGCAAAGGGGATGTTCTGTCCCCTTTCTGTCCCTGAACTAACAAAGCAGTTCAGGGAAGTCTTGTGAGCAACACAGGGCCACAAAGCCAAGGTGACCCCAGTGGCTCCTCTCCGGCCCTGGCAGAGCGCTGTGCCAGGGCACTGCCTGCCCCTGCAGCAGAGATGAACAGGCACTGCTGGTTTTAAGGCTTCTTTCTTTCAGCAGTATCCAATTCACTGTCCCTCCTGCCAGCCCCCAAAAGGAAGAGGCTGACAGAGAAGTCACCTCTTTTTTTTTTTCACCCCCAGAGAGGTCAGAGCAGCTAAAACAAGTCAGTGGCTGACAGGGAAGATGAAAGAGAACTGTGTCCTGCAGCCCCGTGCTGAGACTCTTCCTCCCTTGAAAAGAACAAGCCCAGCAGCCCAGTTTTGAGAGGGGCAGTGGCTTGTGAGGTCCATCACCAACTGAGTGACAGAGAGACCCTGCTGGGAGGCAGCTCAGTCACTGGAAGATGTTCAGCACAGACAAGGTGCTTGGAAAACACTTTTAGATCAGCCTCAAGCATATCTCCCACGGATGGTCAAGGTTCAGACCATTTATTTGAAGAAAAAGCATCTCGCCCTAAGTCCACAACTAAAAAGTACTTGTCCCTTCTCAGTCCCTTCTTAAACACACAAGGCTGACCCGTGCCAAAGAGACCCTCCAGCCACCCACAAATGTATATTCAGTTTGCCTAAGGATTCCAACAAGAGCTGGGAGATCTCTTAAGATCTACGTTCATTTTTAATAAAAAACTGTAACAGGGGAAGGGACAAGCCTTAAGGAAGGACTGTAATTAAAAATAGTAAATAAAGAAAATCTGTGCAGTCTCTGTTCTTTAAAACCCCATCCAAGTAAAACTGTACCAGAGCAAGAGGACTCACGTTTCACAGATCTGGTAATACTTCTCATCCTGAATGCCATCTTGAATAGGTACATTCACGCTGTAATAGCGACCTTTCCCCAGGCCAACATCTGTCACATCACCAGTGCCTGAAAAACAGACACACTCCATGGTTAATTACACGGGAAAGGGGATCAGCAGCAAGAGAAATGTGTGGGACATCTCAGATGAGAGCAGAGCACCAGGACCTTTGGCAAGCTTATGGAGAAGTCCATTTGCCACCACCAATAAAGGAGTGGTTGGATGGACCTGGTTCTCGTCCTCTGCCCAGTTCTGTCACGCAGCTTTCAAGAGCTGCAGGTGACCACCCAGCAGTGGCTCTGCCAAAGCTTAACCTCAATCAGAAACAGTGAAATGCCAAACATGTAGTTCCTCCCCCCTCTTTCCTCCTTCTGAGTCCACAGGAGAGGCAGCATGACATCTCTGCTGGACAGAAAGGATGGGACTTGCCTCCGCTGCGGCCTCGTCAGTGATGTGTGAACCAAACGTGCCCAAACCTCACAAGTTCAACCTACCTGGGAAAAATCCTGGAGAAAACTTGTGCAGAGAAACAGTCATGACTTTTGAGGTGAAACTAAAGGCATCTTCAACTCCTATCAGAAAAGGGAAGAGAAAAAAAAGCTTTCATGCACCATTCTCATAAGAGACACACAAATGAGCCGCTTGATAAACATGGGGCAGCAGGCAGAGCAGAAACAGAATGAACAACAGAGAATCAGATGTGGCTCCATCCTTAATCAATGGAGACCTGAATTCAACTGCAGCAAAGGTCACAATTGAAATTAATTTGGTGGGTCTCGTGCTGATTGGTACTGAATGGATCTCAGTGTCTCAGGTCAGTGCCCACATCAGCAGCACTTGCAGGGATGCCTTGGCCAGATCTTGGCTCTGATTAGAACCAGAGCTACTGGATTCTCTTGCTCTTTCTCAGTGCTGCTGGGGCTCAACATGACTTTCCTTTTCCTTAAAGACATATTAAAGTAGCAGGGTTGGGAAGGGAAAAAGAAATAACAAGAAACTTAACAGAAACCAAATGCAGGGGGAAAAGAGAGCAAAATGAAACACACCATAAAAATTTAGGAGAGCAGGAAATGTTAAATGGTGTTGAAATAATGTCCCTGAAGGAGACAGTACTTTCAGCAAGGCCAGCTCTGGCTTTAGTTTTATAGCATCAATCCTTCTTTTAAAAACACTGTTTACTACTGACTGCTTCCCCCTTGCACTGGTGGCATTTGACAATTAAACGCTGTCAGCAGCTTCTCTGTCGGGATGGGAGACAAGGGACTGGAGGAAATCCCTGCTGCCCAGCCACCAGCAGGCAGGATTACTGGGATGGGAACATGCTGTTTGCTGCCTTAGGTACAAGACTGTTGCCTAGACCCTCAAGCGAGGTCTTGATGAGCAGCACAGAGCAAATCCATAAAGCAGGACAAGGCAGAAATGGATTGAGGGAACGTGATGGCACTGAAAAGAGGCAAAGCCACGGCTGTTGCTGCCCCAACAGGCCTCCACTTCTCCCATCCCTCCCCCTGAGCCTGTGTGGCTGTGCTGTTTGCAGCCCATGCTGGGCCTTACCATCTCCATGATGCAAATCCAAATCGATATAAAGGACGCGGTCAAATTTCTGGCGCAGCCTCAGGATCCCCAGGACAGCGTCGTTCAGGTAACAGAAGCCAGAAGCTTCATCTCTGTGAAAACAATGTCTGTGACGTTGAACATCTCCAAAGCCATCGCCTTTGATCTTGGCTTTGCAAGTCTCCACCTTACAGAGGCACAGAGGAGCATGAAGAGCCTTGGCCAAGGCCCACCAGTGACCAAGGGATGGGTCAGGAGCAGCTGGAATTGTGGCTGGGAAGCACAGCAAACCTGCCTGCTTGTACCAATCGCTTCCCAACCCTGGGCTGGCTGGCAGCTGGTAAAGCATCAGCTGGCTCTGCTGCAGAGAGGCCCTGACCATGGGCATGGCACCTCTGAGTGTTTAATCACTGCACAAATACAATGTTAGCTTTCTTGCACCTGAGACATTTTAAAGAAGTTCAGAGCTACTCAACTCAAACCCACTCTCTGCTGTACCTCCTCTCCCTCTGCAGCAAGAGGATGGATCCCTGGACAGTTCTGCTTGGCAATTCTCCTGCAAGTGCCAGACAGGGAAGGCAAGGCAGCCATTCCATCCCTGCTGTCCAGCTCACAGCTCCCAGGAAGGTCCTGGCAGTGAAAGGCAGGTCCAGGGCAGTCATGACACTCTGCTGCTCTGTTCCAAAGTCTCGAGTTATGAAGGTTAAGCCTCTCCCGAAAGCAATGTTCTCCCTTACTCCTCAGGAAAATGCAAACAGGATGTCCCTCACAACACAGCTCCTAGGCTCAGCTAGAAGAGAACCTCAGCAGCTAAACAAATGTTGCATGGAAAGATTTATCCCTGATATAAATCAGAGGGCAGCATCCATATTGCTGACATTAAAGGAGCAAGAAAATGTCTTAATCCCTACTCCAGACTCGCTTCAAAGTCAAGTCCCCGTCACCACTTGGCACTGGCCCATATAGTAGCAGGATGAGGGGTGATGGTTTTTAACTAGAAAAGGGCAAATTTAGGACGGATATGAGGGAAAAGTTCTTCGGTGTGAGGATGGTGGATCATTGGAACAGGTTGCCCAGAGAGGTAATGGAGGCCCCATCCCTGGAGATGTTCAAGATCAGGCTTGATGGGGCTCTGAGCAACCTCCTCTAGTAAAGATGTCCCTGCTCACTGCAGGGGGGGTTGGACTAGGTGACCTTTGAGGGTCCCTTCCAACCCAAACCATTTTGTGATTCTATATGTGCTCTTAGGTCAGCCCTGGATAGCCAATTTAAACCAAAGCTTTATACTTTGCAATGGGAATGTCCAAATCCCTCTTCCTCAGGCTCAAACAACTCCAAGATCTAAGATGTGCCTCTTGGAAATGCTTCTTGACTTTCAGCCACAGCACTCGGCTCATTTCCCCCAACACTCCCCTGCTCAGTAAACAGCTAAAAAAACCAGCAGGGAGCAAGCACGGGATGGCAGAACTGCTCTCACTCTCACTCCCTGGAAATGTCACGGAGCACAGATGCTTCCCAGTGACTCAAGTTCATTACAGTGACACTGAGAACTGGGATGTCAGCAGGTATCCTGGGAATCCTTCTTAACTGTGCTTACACACTGGACTCCTCCCTTCCTTCACAACAAGGCAGCAAAGTGAACTGTGTCATAGAATCACAGAATGATTTTGGTTGGAAAAAGACCTTTAAGATCATCAAGTCTAACTTGAGTCATGTCTGAGGTACTCTCCCCATGCTGTAAGACATGATCTCCTTTAAACTCAAGGCCAAGCAGAGCAGGACATTGACTTGGACAGAGACTGAGCAGTGTCAGAGCTGCAGCTCAGGGCCAGCACTTGGGATTTCCCTCTCAAGAGACACACACAGCAGAGCTTGGACTGTCACTGCCACAAGGGAGGGTAGAGCTGGGTCAAGAAAAGGCACCGACTCAGCATCTCATCCTCTGCTCCAAAGGCTTTTAACAGTGAACTGGGAGCTTCCCAAGCCCCAGGTGACAGTGGCTGCCATTCCTACCTTTAGGAGCTTAAAAAGTAACTAAGCCAGTAGACAGCAGGTCTTTTTTGACCAAAGGACGTGTATTTTGCTAGGACACAGGTCCTAGCACCAGGCACTGGAAGTTGTGTGTCAATCTGGCTGGACCTTCACACTGGACTGACACCTATCACAGCTTCTGCCTACCCTGCAGCATCCCACTCCCACCTCACTGGGATGACTGGGAAGATTCCTTTGGGATCGGTTAAATTTTAAATGCTAAGATTTAAATTCTAAAATTCTAAGATTCCTTTGGGATCAGTTAAATTCTAAATGCCTTTTTTTAAACAGACTGCTTGCTTCCCTAGAACAGTGCTAATAGCACAGCCCAGTGGCAGCAACACCGCTAAGATTTCTTCTGCACAGGCATTTTATAAACCACATAAACCAAGATAAAAGAGAACAGGAGATTTTTAAAAAGCCAAAGGAAAAACCTGTGCACTCAGGTACAAGTTGTTGGGGTCTTAACACGTGGCTCATGCTAATTTCTGGGGCTGCCCAGGGAAACAGAATAGCACTGCAAATGCCAGTGAGCTGGGATCAAGGAAGGGTGATCCCAGTGAGCTGGTGATCCCAGTGAGCTGGGATCAAGGGTGTCTTGTCTGAGTCTGCAGACAGGCCTCACATTTTGGGAGATGGGGAACACAAGATAAAATAGAACATACATCCATGGAAAACAGGGAAGCTGTGGAAACAAACTCCTTTACTACTACAGAACCACAGGGTTCAGAGATGACATTTTTACTTCCTGCCCCTGTTGTTCTGGAAGATTGTTATTGACATGAGAGCTCAGAGCAAAGAGCCACCCACAGAGCGTGGGAAAAACCAGAGGTTAGTGCTGCACTGCTTCAAACCTCTTATTATGCCCCACACAAAACAACTGGGACAACATGTTGCCACAGCCTCGTTCTCTTCCAAGCTGGGAGAAACACCAATCGTTTGCCTCTCCACAGCCCTTCTCTATGGACTTGGCAAAATCAGTTTGCACTAGAACTCACAGAGATAACTAAATATCAACGTTTGGCAGGACAACTCTGCATGTATCTGCTCCAGACCTGTGCTGCAGTCTGATATAGCACCAGGACTGGGCAGTAACCTCTGCCCCACACGCTGCTTCTTTCCCATCTACCTCCTGCCTTCCCTCACCCCTCACAACCTTGCTCTCTTTTCCAGCTGGATCACCCCACCCTGAGGGTTGACAGGGAAGCTGGGAGCTAGGAGGCAGGTGAGAAAATACAAAGGAAAAGATTGTTTTCTTACTTCTTTGCATGATGCCACCCTCCAGGCCAGTTAATCGCTACTTTGCACTTGCCCTCCAGCAGACACTGGGCTGCGGTGATGGTGGCTCCTCCCACAGCTGCTGCATATTCAAAGATCCCTTCGGTAGCTGGACAGTCGTAACCTGCAGGTAAGAGTCCACATGTGAGACACAACAGGCCTTTTCCTCTGAGGGAAGCACGTTCTCTTTGTTTTGAGACCTCTCTCTTTCTTTAACCGCTGCTCTTTCTGTTCCAGGTGCAATGAAAAATCTACAGCACAAAATCCTCACGACAAATATCAGATCTGGGCTCACACAGCAGATTTAGGGGGTGTAAGTAGGGAAAAAAAACTGCATTGGGTTTGCATGGCAAGGTTTTCATATCAGGGGAGGCTGCAGGGGTAGTTTCTGTGAGAAGACACCTGGATCTGCACCCGTGATGGACAGAGACAGTTCCAAGACAGAGGCTGGTCAAGGCTGAGCCCATCAGGGTGGTGTCTCTGTGGTAACATATTGAAGAAAGGGTAAAAAAAGCTGCACAACAGCTGGAGAGAGAAGTGAAAAGATGTGAAAGAAACAGCCAGACACCAAGGTCAGGGAAGAAGGAGGGGGAGGAGGTGCTCCAGGCACTGGAGCAGAGATTCCCCTGCAGCCTGTGGTGAAGACCATGGTGAGGCAGGCTGTCCCCCTGCAGCCCATGGCGGTCCATGGTGGAGCAGATGTCCCCATACAGCCCCTGGAGGTCCATGGTGGAGCAGATGTCCCCCTGCAGCCCATGGAGGTCCATGGTGGAGCAGATGTCCCCCTGCAGTTTGTGGAGGACTCCAGGCCAGAGCAGGTGGATGCCTGAAGGAGGTTGTGATGCCACGGGAAGCCCACGCTGGAGCAGGCTCCTGGCAGGACCTGCGGCCCATGGAGAGAGGAGCCCACGCTGAAGCAGGTTTGCTGGCAGGACTCGTGGGCAACCCATGCCGGAGCAGTCTGTTCCTGAAGGAATGTGCCCTGTGGAAGGGACCCATACTGGTGCAGTTTGTGAAGGACTCATGTTGGGGATGTTCATGGAGGACTGCTGCCCATGGGAGGGACCCCGCTGGAGAATGGGAAGAGTGTGAGGAGGAAGGAGAGACAAAGTGTTATGAACTGACCACAACTCCCGTTCCCATCCTCTTACGCTGCTCAGGGGGGAGGGAGGTAGAAGAGCTGGGGCTGAAGTTGAGGCTGGGAAGAAGGGTGGGTGAGGGGGAAGGTGACTTTGGTTTTGTTTTCAATTCTCATTATCCTACTCTGTTATTAATTGGCAACAGATTGAATTAATTTCCCTAACTCGAGTCTGTTTAGCCCATGACGGTAACTGCAGAGTGATCTCCCTGTCCTTATCTCAACCCACGATCTTTTCCATCGTATTTTCTCCCCTACCCTGTTGAGGAGAGGGAGAGAACGAGCATCTAAGTGGGCACCTGGTGGCCAGCACCACAAGTATAACAATCAAAACGTTTCCTTGCACTCAGATCATTCACAGAAGGGTCTTGATCCAACACCTGATCTGTGTACCTGGCTATCCCGACCTACTGGTACCTCATACCAATCTTGCAAAAACACTCTCAGTTCTCTGGCTGCTCAACCAGGAAAGCCCTGACACAGCCACTGATGCATCTCCTCCCTAAAAACAGACATTCACAAAGGAGCTGGTTGAGGGAGGTGATCATCCCGCTCTGCTCTGCACTGGTGTGACCTCAGCTCCAGCACTGGGGGCAGTTTGGGGCACCACAGGAGAAAAAGGATCTAAAGCTGCTGGAGAGTGTCCAGAGGAGGGACACAACATTGGGGAAGGGTTTAGAGGGGAAGGGTGTGAGGAGAGGCTGAAGTCACTTGGTTTGTTCAGCCTGGAGGAGACTGAGAGGAGATCTCATGGGGGTCTAGAACTTCCTCCCAAGGGGAAGAGGAGGGGCAGGCGCTGATCTCTTCTCTCTGGCCACCAACGAATGCCAGGAGCAGAGGACATGGCAGGAAGATGTGGCAGGGGAGGGTGAGGTTGGCCATGAGGAAAAGGTTCTTGAGGCAGAGGGTGGTGGAGCACTGGAACAGGCTCCCCAAGGAGGTGCTCATGGCACCAATCTAGGTGCAGATCTAGGGGAGACTCATGAGATCAGTGCAGAACCTGCACCACTGCCTCCCTGCTGGGTCATTCCTTCTGTTCCTGAGACTAAAACAACACCCAGAGCCACCTGCATTGCTCAGGCTGTCCAGGCAGGCAGGACCCCTCTGCCCAACATGTCAGTAAAGTCACCAGGCAAACAGCAGCTGCTCTGGTCCCTGGCTGTAGCTTCAGGCTACTGCTCACATGTGGCCTCCACCACAGCAGGCTTTCAGCTCTGTTCCAAGGGCAGCGTGTCAGGACCTTCTGTCCTGCCCAAGATCCTCAAAGCAGCAGCAAAAGGCACCAGCTCCCAGTATGCAAGGGACAGGCTTGAGCTGCACAGAGCAGGAGCATGAGGCTGACACCAGTATCCTCTGCTGGCAACAGTCAAAATGCCAGCCTGCCAGGTGACCCCTGGCTGATGGGGTTCACCAACACCCCAGCAAAGAGTGTTTCCCTCGGCAAACAGCCCAGCAGCCCACCTGAGCTCACTGCTCTGTCCAACCTCAGCTCCAACAGAGCTGAAACTCACTTATTCTCTCGCTGAAGATATGTGTCCTTACCCAGTCCATACTCCACAGACTCCGGGTGGTCATCATCCCCCTCCTCACTGACCTTCTGCAAGTGCTGCAGGTAGGCGTCCGTATGGAAGCTCGCCATCTCCTCCATGGAGGCCACCTTTGGTTTGACTATCCTAGGCAGAGAGAAGGAAGGGAGCACGTCAGGATATGTGGTGGTTTGACCGGAATTCCAGGTGCCCACCAAGCCTCCTCAGCAGGATGGAGAGGGGAGAAAATAAGATGGAACAAAAAAACCCCCAAACTTGTGGGTTGAGACAAAAGGCAGTTTAATAGAAACAAAGCAAAGCTGTGTGTGCAGAAGCAAAAGAACAAAATATTTATTCTCTGCTTCCCATCAGCAGGTGATGTTTGGCCACTTCCCAGGAAGCAGGGCTTTGTATGTGTAGCGGTTACCCCGGAGGACAAACATAAATAACAAATGCCCCCCCATCTCCCTCTGTTCTCCTTGTTTTTATTTCTGAGCAGATGTTGTATGGTCTGGAATATCCCTCTGGTCACTTTGGATCAGCCGTCCTGGCTCTGTCCCCTCCCAAGACCTTCCCCACCCACAGCTACTGGGAGGGGGGGGAGAATGTTGGGGAGCCAGCCTTAGTGTTGTGGGAGCAGGAACCAAACCACTGGGGTGATACCAACACCTCTATAAACCCCAGCACTCTGAGGGCTGCTGTGGGGAAAATTAACTCCATCTCAGCCAGACCCAGCGCACAGGACAACGAGGTGCCAGGGTTCCACTAGCCCAGCATTAACATCAGAGTAAGAGCCTTCTTTCAGCTGTTATTGTTGAAAAAGCAAACAAAATCTCCTCCTCCTCGTCTCACACGAGACCATCACTTTGAGTGAGAAAGCTGCTCAGCTGAGCTGGAGGAGGCCTTTTGCCCAGCTTGGCACAGTCTGCTGTGCCCACTCCAGTGAGAAACATCTGCTCCAGTGTTGCCTACATTAACCTTCCGCTTTGCTTCAAGTTTTTTTTCCCCCTATTCTGTATGTTTTCCCAGTTGGAGCAGTCTCCAGCAGATCCAACATTTTGGTTATACACACAGAGGAAATAACAGAGTGAAAACATCCAGGCCCAGCCCAGTGCTGTGGCAGAACACCAGTCTGCTGGGTCAGGAGCTGAGCAGCACCTCTTAACATGCTCCTAACTCTGCCTAAATAAATCTGGTGTCATGCTGAAGCCCTCTCCAAACCTCTTCAGACCTGACTCTGGGGGCACGTATCAGCAATGCAGTACAGCTCCATTGCTACTGGAAGAATGTAAGAAGCTCTCAGCTTCAGGCTAGCCCAGGTGCCAGGCACTTCTCATCCCACACCTGGGAGAACAGCCCTTTGGCTCTGCTTCTGTAATGGTATCTGCAGCCATTTCCTAAGCACATCCTACCAAAATGACCAGAAGGAAAAAAATCCTTTAAAAGATGTCCTGCTTTTGCTAGGAGAGAGTTAATTTTCTTTTTAGTAGTTAGAAGAGCTGTGGTTTAGGTTCAGTGTGGGATTTGTTATGAGAAGAATGTTGAGCAGGTGCTGATGTTTTCAGTTGCTGCTGGAAGTCCAAGGTCACCGTGTTTTGCCAGTTTGCAAGTGCAAAGGGCTGGGAGGGGGGAAGCGCAGTAATTAGCAAACCCCTAATTGGCATTTGGCTCTGCCAATGAGATATTCCATCTCCTGTCCCCCACGGGCAGGACATTGCCCAGGGCTGAGCGGGAAGCTGGGGATTCTCTCGGGGATGGCTCGGGCTCTGGCTCTCCCGGGATTGCGGTTTGGGTTTGGGGACTGTCTCTGCTCCGGGGTCGCTGGCTGGGACAGGCTGGGCATCAGCCGGCGGGTGCTGAGCAACTGCCCTGGGCATCACTCATTTCCATATTCTGTTATCACTGTTGTTATTATTATCATTTTAATTAGTAAATGAGTTTTTATCTCAACCCATGAGTTTCTTTGCCCTTTTGCTTCCAATTCTCCCTCCTACTCCCTGGGCGAGGAGGATGAGGGTGAGAGAGCGACTGGGTTTGGCTGAAAGGTGCAAGCCAAAAGGGTGAATCCACCCAAACCACCACAAAAAAAGTCCCGACAGGACTTTCTGTCCTGCTCAGCAGGAGCATGGGATTTTTTTAAGATTTTACAAGATACTACATAAGAGAGGCTGAGCTAAGCCTCTTCCTTCCCCTCATATCCCACGGCATCAAGAGCCTAATAGGGCAGGAGAGTTCCCACTCTTCCACCTCAGATCTCATCTTAATTTCTCTCCTGAACAGCACTAAGACTTCACAAAAAGTCTCCTAAATAAATCACAACCCAGCAAAACACCAAGGTCCCGCTCAGCATCAGCACTGGCCGGTGGATTCCGAGCAGTGCCAACAAGGATGGTTTCTACGCCATCACTTCTCCTCAGAGTCACAAGAGCAGCATGCTCTACGGAGAACTCACAAGGCAATTTGTACTCCATTGGACCACGAAGGGTAATTATAAATTACACATCTGCCATAATTACCATAATCTTGTCTATTTAGCAAAACAAGGAGACTTTCCTTAGATCCTGGGCTGCATCAAGAGAAGCGTGGCCAGCAGGTCGAGGGAGGTGATTCTACCCCTCTACTCTGCTCTTGTAAGGCCCCACCTGGAGTACTGCGTCCAGTTCTGGAGCCCCCAACACAAGAAAGACACGGACCAGTTAGAACAAGTCCAGAGAAGGGCCACCAGGATGTTCCAAGGGCTGGAGCACCTCTCCTATGAAGACAGGCTGAAAGAGTTGGGGCTGTTCAGCCTGGAGAAGAGAAGGCTCCGGGGAAATCTTACAGCAGCCTTCCAATACCTGAAGGGGCTACAAGAAAGCTGGGGAAGGACTTTTTATAAGGGCAGGTAGTGATAGACCAAGGGGAAATGGGTTTAAGCTGAAAGAGGGCAGGTTTAGATTGGATGTTAGGAAGAAGTTCTTCACTGTGAGGGTGGTGAGACAGTATCCCAGGTTGCCCAAGGAAGTTGTAGATGCCCCCTCCCTGGAAGTGTTCTCGGCCAGGTTGGATGAGGTTTTGAGCAACCTGGTCTAGTGGAAGGTGTCCCTGCTGCTGGCAGGGGGGTTGGAACTGGATGAGCTTTAAGGTCCCTTCCAATCCAAACCAGACTGGGATTCTATGATCCTAGAAACACACTAGGTGGATTCCTATAATCACGCTGCCAGCTGGGATCAGCTCAAGACCTGCAGTTACTCAATATCTTCCAAACCTTAACAAAGAAGAAAATATTCTTTTCACAGAAAACAGGAACACTTACTTCATCTGGTCGAGTAAGGAATATGCTTCAATCAATGAATGCACCATACTGGCCTAAAAAGAAAAACAAAAGAAGAATGACCATGAAAGCAGCTCGTGGTGACAAGAAGCAGCAGCACAGTGATCGGGGTTAAAGGACTTGTGGTGAAGGTGTAATAACGGTGACTTGTCCCAGCAGCTCAGTTAAACTGGGACCAGCCCGAGCAGGGTGACCCGGGACAGGGACCAGCCTGAGCAGGGTGACCCCGGACAGGGACCAGCCCGAGCAGGGTGTCCCCACGGAGGGTGTCCAGCACTGTGAGGCGTCAAGCCCAAGCAGGGTGTCCCCACGGAGGGTGTCCAGCACTGTGAGGTGTGGAGGGACGGACACACACGGACACTTCCCGGTGTGTCGGGAAAAGGCACCGCAGCGCTCAGCTCCTCGGAGGGAAGGAGGGAAGGGACACCGGG